TTTGCACCAGCTCACCCGTTTGAATGTGTCCATGTGAATGTATGTGTCTTGTTTGGTTTCCGTGCTATTCACGAACAGAACCCCAGTGTACGTGGATCCGACTATCGGCCATTCGCTGGGATTTGATTTACCCGCGTTGTCTCTGTGTTCAATAAAAAAAAACAAGGTTTATAGCGGGTGTAAAGGACTTTGCAGGGTGTTGTTGAAGTCAACATTCTTGATTACATTTTGGTATAACGTTGCAAAATTTGGCCAGGTCTAATGCAGTTTTCACGTAACCTAGGCATTAGGAATCGCCGTTCAGTTACGACTGTTGTGTTTGTTCATTTTTCGCCAAATTGCTGATAATAATATCTAATATTTTTTCATTTAAGCTGGCAAATTGATTAAGATAAACCGTTAAACTAGCATACGACGCTTTGAACGTTGTCAAAATAATCCTGAACCTCCTGATTGTGAGAAGCAAGCATCTCAGCTTGTAACGCTGCAGTTGGAAAATACATGAAACCTCACTGATTCGGGAATGCTATTCAGAAGTATGAGTAAACTAGTTTATCTATAGATAACTCAGGTGTCGTTGGTCACGTACGCACCTGACACCGTGATGTTCGAAGCAGACCAATGACAGCAATCAGTAGACTTTCACGGACTACAAGAAGCAGGCCTGATATATATACAAATATATATATATATATATACATATATATATATATACATATATATATATATATATAATGAATTTGGCATAAAACTGTGCCCGATGGAAGCGGTTACGAATCGTGCCGTTTAATAAGATTGCAGTGCCCAGTTCTGTGATGCTTGTTGGGACAAAATATTTTGAACTGCCTTCGAAATAAACGATGGTTTGCGGCTGCTTTCTGCAAACGCAATCATTGAAAGCCATTGACAGTGCATAACACACTTTCATATTTTTAAATTGTACGCTATACTGGTGATTAAAGCATGGGGACCTTGATCCACCAAAAAAAAACCCCAACGTCTCCAGTCGATATGATTGCGCTCACTACCACGAAAGTCGAATTGGACATAACCGGGATTTGCATAAACCATAATCTGTTGGCCTCTTTTAAATACGGATGTGCGCGGGCATGCGTCGATTCGGAATGACTGCGAGAGCTTCGGAATTTATCTTTCTTTCTAATGTGTATGCGAAAAGCCGGAGTTCCATCGTTTAAAACTCAATTGGACAAACAACATCTTTGGTTTCCAATTGTATGCAAGCAACAAAGGACGAACAGAAAACTCTTGGTAGCCTCAGCATCTTCACGACGTAAATGGTTATTTTCGGTTCAGAATACACAATACAAAAACGGTTGAACAACTGTGGTCTGAATGTGTGCTTAGCAGTAGGTATTTCGTTGAACTAGCAATTCCTGTAAAAATACGTACATCGATTGGACAATTTTTCCCGTGCGAAGCAGAATGTGATCATAACGTGAAAAACTTTGAACCAATGTTATAGTTGGGGGAAATCAATGGAAAGATGATTGTTCAAGTAACAGAGAAACATAACCGAAAAGAATATCTAGGCCTTGCGAGAACATGGGTTCTGTTACGGGTTGAGCATTATTTGGTTGTGGTGAGCACGCTGAGTTGCTCCTTTTCGACGGAACCTTGGATGGCACCCAGTACTCAAGAGTAAAAGATCAGCTGCTAAAGTCAGAAGTGAAACAGTGATCGAGAGAGACAAAAATGCATCAGCGTGCCGATCTGGAGGAGCCTAATCCAGATCTCAAACAGCACTGTTGATAGTGATAGCAAACATTTTAAAACAATAACATTTATGGAAACAAAGTATAAAGAACCTTGGTTAGCAATTGATAAAATACCTGTCCAAGGTTCAAGCTGAAATCAGTAACACTAATGTTCGATATTTCAGTATTGTTTAATTGTGTCATTTTACATTTACACGTGCCCTTAGTATTCCACTTGGATTTCATAAGGTCACTGATTTGGTCAACCGTAATCAGAAGCAATTCAGATCATTAAAACACAGACCCAGGACAAATCATTACCACTCACAAATTGGTGCTGTTGGGGGCATCGCCAAAACCAATCATTGTCCATGGGGATAGCACTTGTCCGTTTGCTTTAACCTCACCGATGAGTCCCTTATTGCAGGAAGTAAATCCCGGTTAGAAAGAAAGAAAACAATATGGAATTCAAATAAGAATTTCGAAGATAATTTCTTTGTCAGGTTAATTGCTCGATTAGCCACAGTCATAGAAACGAGATATGCCGACTGGATGATGTTAAGAGTTTAGCCCAGTTAATAAACTTTCCCAGATTTTGCGAGAATACTAAAATTTCGTGCTAGGGTTAAACACAAATGGAACAACAGCTGACTGCTACAATTTTTGGATAATGACCATTCGCGATTGCAGAACGACTTTTTTGAACTAGCTAATGTGTTCACTTTTCGTAGTTGCATCATTCCCGAGGTCACCATGATCGGACATGAATAGAGATTTATACACAGCAACTTCTTTGATGTTAGTTCGCACCGGATGATACGACAGATTGCCTGTTTGTTATCGACTATCTGGAGAAAGAAATGTTCATTTTGAATTCCCGTTTGAGGTAACACTTGTATTGTTCCCTTACAGAATAGTATTTTATCATAACCGTTTCGGTAAATCCACAGTCCTTTGAACGCACTTCAATCGTCGATGAGCATACCATGCGTATTGTTTTAAGCGGACTGTATTCCTTTCGGGATGGAACAAAATATAACTGCTTGGTCGACATGAACTGATCAGACTTCAAGGAACTTTACATAACACTGATAATTCTGTTCAGCCCGATTGTCGCCGTGGTAATACACACAAGCATTACCTAAGCGAGGTTCGTTTTTCGAATCCCGTACGAGACGGTGAATATGCGCCGCTGATGAACGTGAGGGAGATCGAAAGTGAAGTTGAATTATGCCAGTGTGGAAACATATCTAGATAAACCAATGATTCCGCATAAATATCAAGTATGTGGGATGTTCAATTCAACTACATAAATGCCTCACTCAGATGCGCAAGCGGATTAAGTCAAACCTGCGAATAATACAATCTTACCTTGAAATTATCTTTCATACCCCAACCGTAGTTTCTGTGACCTCTGTTTTCCACAAGAATCATGAGAAGGTCCTTTGGTGTTTGATCGTTCAGAGTGAATTTGCATGATTTTTGTCCACCACGAATCACATTATGCAATTTCTAGAAAACAATATTTTTCAGCGTACGGTGGATAATTGGGATCCAATGGGGATGTGAGATGCGTAATAAATATAATGAGAGCAACGTTCTAAACACGGACTATTTAGTTAATCATGCTTTTGTTCTTAACGGGCAGTTTTACAAATCACGCAAGACGAATAATCTTGTTCCACCAATGCGCAAGTTCATGACTCACATAGGATAGTTGTGTTGTTTTAGAAAAATCTGTGACGTTTTTATATTATCGAGCTTACTAAGGGTACCTTTAGAGTATGCATGCTTTTTGAGTTGTCCGGTTTCATCTAAGGAACAGGCAAACGTTGTATTTTATTTGCTAAAAAGTAACGATTTTCCTGACCTCATAAAAGAAATGTCTGCTTATCTGTAATCAATCAAACATGCGATAAGCCTTTCACGTTTGCATGACTGTAAAAACATTTATTTACTTTGATCATAGATGGGGTATAGATTGGCACATGCTATTATGAACGGTATTTCTGCTGGGATTCCGTCTATATTCCTCCCTTAGTATGTGGTGAAATTGGTGGTGCATAATTAAGGTTTTGATACATTATGCCGCAAACAACCAATCTTCGGATAAGACACGTGTCTCTTGCATACGTTATTTTTTAGGCATGCCAGTTTTGCAGTACATGGTAGATGTAGGACCAAGTGCTTGATCACTAGTTGAGGAATTTCTATGAGCCCGAAAACGGAAAAAGAAAAAGAAAATCACGAGAACACAAAATAGCAAACAAGCTCGTTTCCAGTACGACCTCAACTGGCGAAATACAGCATAATTTATAACCGATTAAACCAGGTTGGTAGAGGAGAAGAAAATCAGAGTTTAGGGAGAGATTAGGACTTGTGATAATTAATGTTTGTGAGTGTGTAGAAAAAACCGTGTGGCTGTGATGTTGAATTCGCTTATGCTGCCGAGAAAGCAAAGAAAACAGTCCTCAACTCACCAATTGCGTGCGTTGCTTATCCGCCGTGTACACATAGGCAATGTCGGCAAACCGGGTGAAATCTAATGTAACCTCTCCGTTATCGAGTTGTGGCAGTTCAGTGGTGTATAGGGCAAAGCCTTCATACTGAACAGGTCGTCCAGAACAGCGGGGATGTACAGGGGAACGGAGTTGCAGACAGAAAACTTTAGGAACACCCACAGTTCGGAATATAAAGCATTTCAAATAAAAGGCACCAATCACACGACCTGTAACAAACCATTTTTCGTACATGATGAACTCAACTTCTCTGGTTCACACACCAACCGAGCACATTTCGTTACCACGGTTGATCGGAAGAGGGAATATTCATTCAACTATCCGAGACAGCCACAATAATTGGAAAGCAGTATTAATCGGGCTCTACTTGAGGCTGAGCTATTCGAGGATATATGTTACGGAAACCGAAAAAACATATTACTTTCCGTCAAATATTTTCTACAGAAACGTAATGAATCAGATACATCCGGAAAACTGCATTTATCGCTAGACTACTGTCACGTTCCAAGTAGTCAAATATTGGATGCAACTGATTTGGCCCCGGAAACTGCGCTATTCAGAAGAGATGAGTGCTGACGAATACCGGGGATGTTCATGCATTTGAACCGCTTTACTAATTTATTCACCTACATACTCAGATGCACTGGAAGTGGACACAGACGACCTGGAACATGAACACTCACTTGTCTCAACTTCTCCATATTCACCGGTGTTTCGGCTGTTTCACCTCCCTCTCGTCCGAATAACATGTGACCAAGCTGAAAATCCGAAAAGATATGAACCAGTGTGAGAGACCGACGAAGTGAGTTGCGTGAACATTCATGCTGCTGATGTTTCTTAGTTACATAAGAATTCCGTTATGGTAAACCCGTTCAATCCTCCGACTCTGGAAACTGTTACGTCAACGGTCTACTTCTGGACCCAGATTGCTAAAGGTTTTTTCTGTGGCCTGATTATGCGAGGCTGGCAATGATTACCTTATTGTTATCCCCGCTGTGGACATCGCTGCGTACCTACACTATCGACCTCCAACGGAGTGTGGAAATTTGGCTCGAGAAAACCGGTATTCTGGTCCTGTATGTCTTAGAATTCAAAATGGATTTGAAGTGAATATTGCAATGTCCACATGTAAGGCTAAGCGTTCATTAGAATGCACTTCGTAAACGGATTGCTGGGGTACCCTGAACAGAATTCAGCAATTTGAGTGATTAAACTTACCCGTTTCATTTCGATTCTTCCGTAAGAGATGCGAGGAATATTGGGTGGTAGAGGTGGTACTGGTTTTCCTCGGAACTAGTGATAGAAATGGAATAAAATTTAAATATGTTTTCACCTTGTACAAGATAATTTTTGAAATCTGTATTTTTTGCAGTTTTTCATGTTCATTTTTCTCTCTACAGAATTGGTATGTTGCCGTTCTTTATGTGAAATTCCAAAGCAATTTTAGAAAAACAAGATGAATTATAATGCAAAAATGAGAAACATAGAAAATTGTTCACGCCGTCTTGAGAATCACATCTGCTTTCCTTTGTTCTGATTGTTGTTACTATTGAAACTAGTTCATTCGGCTACACAGAATCGTCCCGGTTGTACGCTTACTTTATGAATGGCTTCTTGCAACATCCTATACTTGGGCGTCGCATCTCCAGCTTCTGATATTGGCGCATCGTAGTCATAACTTGTTGTGGACGGAACCTGATCCGGTGTGCCCGCTGTGTAGCCAAAGTTGGTACCGCCGTGGAACATGTATCTGACGGGATTAGGTTAGATGGACTTCAAGTTAGACCGGATTTGTGTACTGCGAAGCTATTTGGAGCGAAGGTGGAATCGTGCTACATTCACGTAAATGAACATATGATCACATGAATTCTGTCACTTACAAGGTTCCTTTATCCTATTTGGTTTATGATTTATACTGACAAAACAAAACCCGTACTTTCTGTTACTGTTCATCACTGCACCACTTCATTTATATCGCACCGGTCAAGAGAAACGAAGCAGCTTTTAGGCAATCCCTAACTGAACAACGCCCTTCGGATTCGCCGTTTCATTACAAGTGTACACAGAAATACAGTATCTTTTTTACATGAAAACCAGGAAACTCAACGTGCTTTCATTTGTGCCTACAATGCGACATATGTGCAGTAAAAGACTGTAACCAAATGCGATGATTAGTGGGAACTTTATTCATTCGGTTACCTATATTTACTTATTTGTGAGCTCAATAATCGGTCCTTCTCTCTGGAAATCAATTATTCTTTTTGCTTTGTGAAGCAATCACTTATCAACAAGCTCTTTTATCTCTTCACCTGAAAACTCCGAGTTCCACGGGTGATTGTTGTTTTATCCACGAGCTACCGAAAATGTGTTTCCAATCTGCGTTCAACTTTTCTATTCAGTCTGATCAGATCAAGCCTCCTCCTCGTCATCTATCACCTAGCGCCATTTTATTGCGCACACCATTCCTCAAAAGTGTCTCTCATCGGTTTTGTTCCGTACTCTTCAGCAGTCTCCTTAACCCATTCCATACGTTAATAAATCTACTGAGATTGTCGATATCTGAAATCACATGTCTTATTCATGTGCCTGTTTGTTTCAAGTCAGCCATTGAGTAGATTAAACGAAATTCTAAAATCTCGCAACATTTGTTTTCTTTCTGTATTGATGAACTGAAGATAAAGGGGATCCGATGCCCCAAGTTATTCTCCCATTATTTCCTGTTTCAAATTCGGACTACCTGGTTCACGTATCAGTTTGTACCAGAATTCTGCGGTTCCGTATCGGATAGAACCAACTAGTCAGTCCTCTGTGCAAGTCTCAAATGGTCAACCCCTACCTTTCAATTGCCTCGGTCTATTTCAAGTAAAATAGTTCGTGATGCGTAGTTTATACTCACTCATTGTCGTCACTTGCCGGTGATTCCTTCCTCCCCCCTCCAATATGAAAGGCCAAAATGGTTTCTGATGGAATCACTTTGTGAACACCTCAAGGGCATTAGAGAAGTATTCTGTCCACAAGCGAATTATGACCCGATATCTTTGTTGTCCCGTGATTTGGTTGCCACACATTCTGTGCTGAAGGTCGTGTTAAACATAGCACACTAAGTGACTCTTGACTAAGTATTTTACTTTCCTCCTTATGAGGGCTATTTATAGGAATGTTAAACGTCAGTTCCGCTGAAACATCATTCTAAAATCTATGGAACCTATCAATAGTTGCACAAACATATAGACCTTGTTCAAAGAGGACGAGACATGTACAGGTCGCAAGTGGACGTATACAAGAAGTATATCAATTAAAAATGTGTGTTCTTTAATCAGAGTGTGGATAATTCAAGACAGAAATCGTGTTGAAAGCAGTGTATTGCTGCGTACACCGCGCCGTGGATCATCGATGATGTGAGTTCACCGAATCCACTGGGTTTCGAACCCGTAACCGAGGACTGGGTGAGGCAACTCGTTAGCCTCTTCGGACGACAAGGGTTATCTTTCCAAAGCTTGCTTTATCATGCCGTCTTGCTCCACCAAAATACGGTCAATGATCGGCTTCTAGACTGCTGACTGCTCACTCCGGTCTTTCTAGAATTAGGCGAGAAGTCCGCACCCAATGAGACGGGATTTGTCTGTGAGGAGCAGTTAGGGAGATTTGATTGAAGTGTGATGGTGAGTGCAAATTTCAAAGCTAGTTCACATACAGAAACATTATGCACTGCAGACAGGGTGAGAGATACTGTAAGCCGGTATCCCATCGAAGTGCATGCTGCATTTGAAAAGGTTCTGCTTTAGCATAACATACTCACAGTTAGCCTTTTTTAGACCGACCATCAACAAACGAATTCTTTTTTCATTAGAAGGATAGAGGTCATCAAATCCATGAGGATTCAGACAGATAGATGTAGACGTTAAAGCAATTAACAAACTCACATGTTCACATTGACACGTTCGGAGAAGCTCATAAGACGAATCAAGTAGTCGGTGCTGTATTTGGCATCTCTGTGCGCATGTGATCCACCCCACGCATCGAACCAACCAACATAGAATTCACTGTTGACCTATATCCGAGAGGACAGATGCAAACATAAAGAAAATTACTTATGTTATTCAAATTGGATAGGTTTAGAAAAGTGAATTCGATATATCTGTTCAGAACCAAAGATTCATATCGATTGAGCGTGTTTTCAGTCTTCACACTACCACATTTTGAGGGGCTGAAATGAGCATAGTCCTAATAAGGATCGATTCTCTTCTGAATTGCATTTGTAGAACTATTGAAAATACTCATGCAAAAGAAGCATTGTAAACAATCTCTGAAAACTAATGTCCCTAAGGTTCTGAATACTTTTCAATAACCGAAGGTCAACACGTGTGCGTATACAGAAGATCCACTGAAGACTAAATAGTACGACAAGATGCTTGAGTTCCTAACACATGTAATCTGCATGCTCGAAACGGCCACCAATTGCTTTACTGCCAAATCCGAACACTTTGTGGTGACTTTTGTTCATATTTTTGTGCTTTGACATAGCAAGCATATTTTTGGACAGCAGTGGGATTTGTTTGCATGCTTCGCATCAGATCTGCAAAACATGCGGATCTTCCTATCGAATGAAGCTGATGCTTTTGATCACAGCTTTCTTTACATTTCAGTCTGGGGAGATTGGACTAGAAGAAAGTGGATGCATTCTTGTTTGCTGTACCCGTTCGTGAATGCTGAACTCAGAATGCATAAAGTCTCACGGACTTTGTCACGTAAGAACGAAAATATTCCCACTCCACATGCACGCATATCAACGCACTGTCTTCAAGTAACAGCGATACATCATATTTGGGCAATAGCGAAAGATAGTGCTGTAGCACCCATAAACTTCTCGTCATTGAATATGCAGTCCAATATGTTCATTGACATAACTATTTTATCAAGAATAAACGTAACATGGTCGATCATTCCTCTTCTTTCATAGGTCATCACTCCAAATCCCTCAAAGCTCGCGGTAACCGATTCTCAAAACTGAAAAAATGTGCGAACTCCGCATCCCATCACGACCGATTGCGAATTCATCACCTTCGTTATTATCTAAGCTGATGGCCTTCACAGCCACGTTGGATGGTGTTCACGAACGCTAATCAACAATCACCCTATCGTAATGTCATTACACAAATTTCAACGTGAATAATCCAAAACAGTTGAACATCGCGGCTAACTGATAAATATTCGAATTCCTCAACTCCTCCCCCACCCTTTGTGCCCGGGAGAAATTCGTGAAAGCTTTGAACAAATGGCCTTCGTAACCATGGGATTATTTTGTGAGATTTGCCACATCAAAATTAAATGGCACACCAGGATAACTTACCCAAGGCTGATTTGGTCTGAACTGTTCCACCGAACTGAAGCTCTGATTCGGTGACGCTGAACCTGTACATGTTTATTGAGGAAAATAATAAGAACAGCATTCTCAATGTGCGGCAGCCTATGTGTTCACGTGAAGAATACGAAGTAAATGTTGCAATTCTCTCATTTAGGAGAATCAGAACTTGCTGGTAAATAAGGCTAGGTTCAGTCGGGAATGTCTTCAACAACTTTTGCCGGTAATTTCAGTTTCAACGATTGGGGCGCTGCCCTCAGAAACACAAAACATCTTCATGTTTGTAAATTTACCGTACAATATCAAACAAGTGGCTATTTTGTGTGTATAACTTGTATACTTGGAGTAAATAAGTTCGATGAACAAACGAATTAGTCCAACATTTTTAACTTTAGTTGCAACAGCACAACAATGCCCGGAATAAAGGCATATATTTGTGAGACAATATTAGGAATTCCAATAAATAACTTTTCGATTTAATCACCACAAACAAATATCTCCTAGCGGTGGCATGAATTTACTTTAGAATTTAAAGCAGTCCAAGGTGAAATGGCTTCCACTTTTCAAACCAGTACAGACCCGAAGAGCGGATAATTCCCACTTTGGAAAGTTTGTCAGCAAGACCCAAACTTCCGTATTTTCGGTGGATAAAAAGTGAAATTCGTCTTGTATTTGGCAAATGAAGCGTCAACTGGAATGCTGGGAGGCAGTGGACAGCTGATTCGACCTGGTTGAGTCTCATCAGTAGTGCAAATCCATCGACCCAAATGGGGACTGAACCCGGGACTTTATGGACAGAAGGCAAACTTGCTACCCATTCGGCCACCGGGCAGTTGATGAGACCCAACTAGGTCGAAACAGCTGTCCAGTGTTTCCAAGCTTTTCCGTTCACGCTTCATTTGCCACATACACGACGAATTTCTCCTTTAAAATCGAATCCAATCCTCCATTATTCACATGAAAAATTGAAATTATCGAACATGAAAACAGTTTTTGATAACATTTTGATTAAAACCATGTTTGGTGTTTAACCCTTCTTCTGTAGAATATATGGTGGTATATTTCGTTGAAAATATAATGTTTTATTGTCTGTTGTGGCAGTTTCGACAATAAAAAGACATAGACCAAGATGTGTAGCATCGAGGTAGAAATAAATTCCAAAATACGGAACTACATTCTGTGCATAACTCGGATGTCCACTGCATAAGAACGTATTCTAACCGACTGCCTCTCCAATGGATACGCATTGATCAAGTTGGAAACAAACTCCGTTTGAAAACCCATTGTTGCAACCCTATTAACTGAGGCCGTGTGCTGCGTGAAAACAATGGTAGGAAGCATACTCTCCATGAAGATTGTCGTATTAAGTTTCCGCCAATTTCCTCAAATGCACACAATGCAGATGCGAGGCTTTGTCTTCGTTTAGATTACTATTGCTTTCAGGCAGTCGAAATTGAATTAGAAATATGCATTTCAGATGAAAAATGCGATATTTTACTTACTTGGTCCGAAATCGATTGTGGCCAAATAACGCGGGTCGGATGAACCGCATCGGAGATAGCTCACAGATGCTCCGTCCGTGGTGAACAAAATAATCTCATTGCCCAAATGAACACGAGCCATATCGTACAGTTGTTCGAGATACCTTCGTTGACACGTTGAATACATACCGTATTCGTTCTCCAACTGATCGCGCATGCAGAACGAATTCCAATTTGCGGGTTGGATAAATGGATGGAAGTTTGACAGTACGTCTTACTAGAGACATTTATTTTACAGATTGATTTTTTTATATATGAAGGCGGAGTGCAAGTGAAGTGTGTTGGTGTGTGCGTGTGAAAAACACCTTAACGATTAACTTCCTTGACAACAATAAGAGGAGCACTGATGGGGATAATTTCATCTTTGTCTGCATTGAAAATTGAACGTTCACCTCAGCTCCAAATCTACCTTTGATTTCTGGCTCCTATAAATAATAAAACACAAATACATGCCACACAACCATCAGGCTATAGAGCCCTCAAATTGTATGGAGCCAGTTGGGATTCGGAGAAACACGAGTGGTTCAATCAGATAAAACGGAAACACCGGTAGAACAAACGCATTTTTTGAAGAAAACTACTGCAGTTCACATAACATTCGTTTGATCTTTTGAGGCAGCACACATAATGCAAGCAAAACAATTCCCTTCTTCCACCAATCAAAACCTACCTGAACCATGATCACCGGACCACCGTAGGTGTACAGAAAACGTCGCATTTTTGGCAGCAGGAAATCCATCCAGCGTGTCACTTCGGTCATATATTCTGAAATCAATGTATAATTCAGTAGTGCTGGTTGAATATGCGCAACGGAGTCGCTAAACTGATCATAGAACGCGAAATCTTAAATTATTGATCAACTGCTGAAAACTAATCAGAAATCTAACGATTATTCCCAGGAAACTATCCTCAAAACTATTCTCAAAATATAAAACAGTTTGAAGGCGTGCGCAGAAGTTTGATGACTGCACCATAATTGATATTTAAAGCACATGTTGTGTACTATTCGGGGATGTTCATTTTGTCACTACATTGTGCGATCATATGTCTGTTTTGTTATGACCCCGACTTCGGTCGTTCCGGTGTGCGGTTTATCGAAGCAGTTCTCGTCGATCATCATTTCACGGAATGTCACCCGGTTTATCCGACCGAACATGTAGGGGAAGTCATCCGGTATTGATCTGTCCTCGAATGCACACGTTCTACCTAAGTGACATTCAATGCCTCACACCAACCGTAAAACATACAGTACAATAGAATCTCTCGTCTACTGTGTGAAGCCCCAGTCGAGTCTGATGGGGTATGTCAATTTGCCGTGCTGGGCTCTAGTTCCTGTCTGATGCGCCGCTTGTTTATCTCCCATTTCGGGGACGTTTCCTCAGCCCTGTGCGGAAACGCTTTACGTTCCACAAACCTCAAGTAGAAACATTAAACGTATTGTAAAACTGGAAAGCAACGCGGAATTCTCACTCGTTGTCTTTCAACAGCTCGACAATTGCATATTCTGAGACAAATCGAAATTAACAATGGTTTTTCCGCTAAACTAGATCAAAGGAAAACATAAAAACCACGACTATAAATGTTGTTAATGAGTTTCAAATACTTATATCATCGGCCGATTTGAACAAAATGGGATGAACTGGAGTAATAACAAATGGTTAAGGGTAATTTGTGTATTTATACGAACATGGAAACCTTAGACACTGCAATGTTTATCTCGCGGCCCACCAAATACCTCGCGGTGCGAATTTTCCAAATTGGGAAGTGCAAATATATTCGGTTGAGCAAAAGCGGCAATTATTGCATTTGGAAAGAACTTTTCAACTGTTTAATTCGGTTGCCCAATAAAGATGAGTTGCGTTTAGCGATCTAATCATTTGATCCCGTATGGTAAGGGACAATAAGCGAACCTCTCCGGTAGAAAATCTATTTAGTGGTTGTTGTAGACTGAAATTCCGAGTACCGGTTGACCTTCATAGTGAGTGATCACTGTCTGACGAAAAGACCTCTGTGTTGGTGTGTACTCAGATATACGTCGTGTGATCGTTGAGCTGCCGAAAAATACAACCACACATTGTGAGGACGTCGCTTTCACCGAATCGTGCTTTTCTCTCACCTTCCCCATGCCTTATCAAACCCGTTTGAGTAATCAGCCTGTACTTTCTGTCAATGGTAATACCATCCCCAAAGTTAACTCTGTGAAATATCTTGGAGTCACTTTGTCACACAACCTTTCTTGGTCTAAAGATGTTGAAAACGTTTATATTCGGGTTCGTATCCTTCTACGCTTTTAGGCTTAAAAAGCTCGGCGCTCCCTTAATCACAATTCATAAATTTGTGACTGCATGCATTCTTCCACATTGGTTGTACTGTTCCCCCGTATATTTTCCTGGTCTGAAGGATGAAGGCTTTATTCTCTTTTCCAGATCTCTTAAACTTCTTTCTCGTTGCAACGGCATTTCAAAGACCGTTTTGGTTGACTTTATTGTGAGCAAGTATTTTGATTCAAGCGATCGATTTATCAACCATATCCTGTCCAATGAAGAACACTGCCTTCACTCCCATCTCAATAAATCGGTGTCTCATCCGAGTACCCGTTCCCAATTTCGGATTCTTTGTGCACACACCACCACACACAAAAACAGCATGATCCCTTATTTTGCTAGTATCTTGGTCAATCGAGCAAATATTATTACTGATCTGAACAATCATCTGTCTCATTAGCTTTTAATCAAATCCGTTTGTTTTAAGTTTAGTAAATGTATATTTCTTCCTTTTTTCCAATGCTTAACGTTTTACTCAGTGTAACTTGTCGGAGGTGCTGAAAATTCATCCTATCGGACGCATAAAGCTTTACTTTACTTTACTTAACTTGACTTCCTCAATGCCACTGGGGTTTTTCGGCATGCTGAGCTTCGTTTTCTCTCTTGTCAGGGGCCCTATTTCGTTTCTCTATTCTGAGGAAGCGGAGAGACATGACAATGAAACTCATATTGCGCACACCTGATCTCCCCCCTCCCAATATCGATGATTGAGCAAAATTTCAGTTAGGTAACGTTATTATCAATGCATACCAAGAACGAACTTACCTGGATCAGTTGAGCGGATTCTCATGTAAGGGTTCTTTCGTAACAACCACCCTGGAAGTCCACCCTGAGGTAAACAATGTTTTGGCGGAAGGAAGGAAGAATCTATTGAAAAACGCAGACTTACTGCATTAAAATGCTTAAATGTGACAGGGTGCTCAGACTGTTGTTCAATAATGCTCGACAGTTGCATTCAAATCAACAAAACCGTCATGTCTTCAGAGGATAAGGGATATACAATCATAGAGTAGATGACGCAATTGTTACTGGATATGATTTAACACAGAAAACGCACAGATAACTAGTTTTATCCTTTAAAGCCTGAATTGAGTTCACTGACCTTGTATCTTCCTCTGTGAACAGCGATTGCCACAGGTCCTCCAAAATCTGATACTCTCATTCCGGAACCGGCCTTCGAGGAGTACCAAAATGATGCTGCAATCGTTCTCTTTGCCCTGAAGTTAACCGTTCATTTATCATTCTAAACGTCCCCGTCTACGTGTAAATTGAGAATATGCCAATCAAAAGGGGCCCGCTATTTTACTGGAGCGATTGATGATGTTCAACAGAATGTCACTATCTCAAGACTTATGTTTTCTTTAGGCCCCTGGTGTATCCGATAAAGTGATTCCAGTGTTTCAGAAATCGGCCACCAGAATAAGATTGATCAATTTCCTGTTCTTGTTGTTGTCATGACTCTATTCTAGGACACGCGTGTGATGAATGCGGTGAATGTATTAGAGGTACCTAACGGAAACGTTTATCGTCAACATAATGCCCGATTTTGGTGAGGAGAGACATTTAGGAAGGTCAACGATCAGTGACCCCAGTGACCTCCGTGTATCTGTTCCCGCATCGCAGTAACTGAATATCATCACTTCCAAATTTATGAACCAAAATTTGGTCCTTCTCATTTCCCTTCCCTTGAATGATTGTAGTGACTTGAAAAAGACAGTAAATATCTCAAATGCTCAAAACATTGACTGTAAACGTACTCAGACTCGAAGATACTAAAGTTTCAATCAAGGCAATACAAGGCAAGCATGCTACCCACTAGGCCACCAGGTGGTTTCATTTTCCATTTACACGATATATCACTAGTTCTCGGGGTTTTGACTCGGTTGGAAACTTTCACAATGCTTTCACATGCTTGTGTTCTTCCTGTGAAATTCCCGGGTTCGATCATTAGTTGGGCCGATGGATTTGCACTGTAGAAGAGACCTATCAAGGTCGAAACAGCTATACAGTGCATACTAGCTTTTATCTTAATGGTTCATTTGCTCTATACAGGATGAATTCCCTCTTTGAAATTGAGTCAAATCTTCCATTATTACCAAGTAATATAATGTGCGAAATCCGGATGATTTATTTTTTCCCTTTGGTTCTAGCCTAGAAATAATGAACCTTACCGTATCAAAATTATTAATGCACAAAGAAGGTGGGTATCGATCCAGAAATTGACACGGCGGCGGGGAGTTGCTTTCACCTGTTCAGCCATTAAGTTTTCAGTGTGAAACTGGTAATGGTTCTTCGGGAATACTTTGACTGCATTGGGGACGCGTCTTCCACCGAAAAACTGTCGATTTCATACAGTTTCATCGTGTCCTATCAGTATCGTTCCTCTCACCCGAAAACATACTGACACCAACTCATTTGGCAATTCAACGCTCTGTGACGTCAACCGCAAAGAGAGCGGCTCGATATAGCTTCAGATCGATCAACGAGAACCAAGTTCACTAATTCAAACAGGAATCGTTGGCCCAGAAGAACGTGAACTACCACTTCTTTGTACACACAGACGATTCGCACTGATTTCTCGCATCAGACGTACCGCAACCGCCGTGGCTTACGCCTCGGTGGCGGGAGATTTTGGTTTACAATTACCAGCGAAATTTGATGTTTTCATTATGATCCAGATTCAGATTCCTGATTTGCGTCCAAACGGTTGTTAAACAGATCGACTCCCCGTAAAATCCATTCCATTGTGTTCTATATGTCAGCAAGATTTTATTGATTTTGTACTGACATTTGTCCCGAGGAGTTATTGTGGCACTCATTAGAGAAGAACTTCGGTTGCAACGTGTAGCTGCTTCATTCTGATTCCGATCTATCAGTATCAGCGGGATCACAACCCGCGCACAAATGAATGTCAATCTGCCTGGTGAATCGCTTAAGTTACCTGGACTGGTTTCCATGCACTTAATTACTTCAGGGAACTCTATACGATCTAGCACACAATCTTACAAACAAACAAAACTGGTCGTGATCTAAACTATCTGGCCTGAAACAGCTATCAAGGAATGAATGACAACAAGGTGCAATGAGCATGAAATGGCTGGGAAAATTCTCACTGATTCGCGCACCAAAACCACTCACATAATCCCATTCTGCACAGATGTACGGGCCGACACGGAGAATCACCAACAAGTCCTTTGCGGCAGCCATTTCCAGAAATCGTTCCAAATTTGCATTGCCTTCGAAGTTGTACACACCTTCTTCGGGTTCGTGATAGTTCCAAGGCACGTAACTGTTAGATTTGTTGGTTAAATTGACAGAGTTTATTACCTCAAATAAGTAACTCTACTTCTATCAATAGCAGGGCAGTAGTGGGACAAACAGGAAGTTGTTCCAGATACTCATGTTGGTAAATAAATATCAAAATTATGTGAGTAGGGAATTTCCTATTGCGAACAAGTAAAGTAACACTCAGGTGACGGATGTGGCTTTGATTCGGTGGTTTTTGCGCAAAATCCGGGGGAAATTGTCTTGCAAATTATTTACCTTAGGTAACCACATATGGAAAGTGGTTCTAAATGTGCTAAACAGTTAGTGGTGCGAGCCCAACTTATTTGCAAATCACTGCTACTAATTGTAATGCGTAGGGTCAATTCGACATGGAACGCGGGTTATGGACCCGATAAACGTTCTCCTCTATCAACCCCTCTTCTGTTCAATTATCTGATTAACAATTATTGATTATTATTGTTAATTATCCGGTGAGTAAGCAGCTGAGTTCATCACTAGATCTCATGGTAGGTTGCCTAATGGAACCCCACAATTACTGACTGACTACTCTTTGGCAATTTTGGTATCAATACGACAGGCTTCCTAAATGTCTAAACTATATACAACTACGCTAAAGTAGTGTTATGTACTTTGAGTTCCAGCGCACGGATAGAACTAAATTGAAACCGTTCTCTCTCTTCATTTGCCCCAGCTAGAGATTCATTTCATCGTTCGACTTGTTGACATATTTGTTGGTTGTACACTGCAAGGTGAATCTGGTCACTCGGATAACCGGAACTACTTGTGTCAGCCGACTTCAGGTTCATCCAGTACCGTATGGTCTATGCAATAAATCCAAGTTCATCTTGTACCAGATCCCGAAATGAGGCTGATGGCACAGATAAAAATTTTGGTCAATTGTGGTTAAAATAAAACTCACATTTCTATCGCGTCCAGACCGGCCGCTCGCATTTTTTCCAATCGATCGTCCCAATATTCGACCGGGATTCGGAAGTAGTGTATACTGCCGGAAATGTATTGGAACGGTTTTCCATCTTTGCGAAAGATTTTTTGTTCCTTATCGACCACGAATGATCTGGTCACGGGTGGCTCGCCAAACCACCATTGACGCAACTTTTCCCAACCGGGCACAGCGGTAACCAGTGCGAATTGCAAAATGAACACGGTAAGCACGAGTGTACCCAAGCGGAAGTTTGAGCGCATTGTTTCTGAATCGATGTAGCCGTTTCACCGAGGTGGAATGCAGTGGGGTTCGGAACGTCGAAAGGAAATGGATAAAAGCAATACAGAAAGAGTAATTTCTGTTGTCAAATCGATGCTGCTTAATCCACCGGAATATGAGACGAACGGTTTAAAATGCGTTGCAGATATTGGAATAATTTCGCATCTATCAAGATTTTGTCCGGCGCAACAGGAGTGAAACTGACCCCAAACGACAGCTTTCAGCCACACGCACACAGATAAACGCTATGGTGATTGAATAGGGAACAACAATCTATTTCCGGCTTACCTCTGTTACATTCGACTGTTGATCTGATTTGGCACAGTAATGGAACCCATTCATTTCACCTTGTACAACTGTGCCTCCTGATGGACTTGAACGCGTGCACGTAAACGCGTTTGATGCATACACTGTACCCAAATGAATTGATCAGTATTGTGAGCCCATTCGCTGTCCGGATTTGTGTGTATGCGTTTGTGTGTGTTTGTGCGCTCGCCTAAGCCAGGTGCAAAATGGAACTGTGTGTTCTCTAGGGTTTATGTACCCTATGTTCCATCGTGTACCCATGGCCCAGTAAGAATACCATCTAACAATAGAAGTAGTTATAGGTCACATATATGCAGTCGAATTTTATTTGGAATATCCCTCTTTTACTTTGTTTGTTTCAATCAATGTTCCTTGACAGATAAACGTAGGTTGGCCTTGGAGACCATGAAATCCAATCAAATAATGGTGTCATCACATTCTAAACTTCACCACTAATCTGACATGTATTACGTTTGGATTACTAAATATACTAAGGTTTTATAAATATATGTATCATTTGGACACTAATGCCTGCGCCGGTGGTTGAGTTATAGCGTAGCCTAATTGTCGCATCGGAGGACGTGTGCTCGAATCCCACTACCTCGGCTGGAATTTACTCGTCTGCTGTATTGTAGCCTTTTCGATTGGCCGATTCTCATTCCTGAAAGTTGTATCATTATACATTTAATCAAGGGAAGAAAAATGAAAGGAAATATGAAAAAGATAAGTGAACAATCTGATACATTTATATCGTGAACTTGCTAGTACACAGATCAAGTGGTTTCAACCGAGTCCCAATGCTTTAGACTAGTGCTGGGATGCGCCACGTTATGCATGCATTAGCCCCGTAATTATGGGTTTTGTTATATCGCGTGTAGACAAAGTGTAAAACGGCCGAATCAACTGATCAGTGGTCACCTGGGCATGCCCGGCCTGTGAGATCCCGTGTTTGGTCGTCAGTTGTGTCGATGAATTCGTGCACTGCTGTTGAGACCCAATCATGTTGGAACACTTGTTTTATTTTTCATATGACGCTCCATTTAATTTACTAAATATATATATATATGTATATATATATATATCACTTGTTGGAGCCTCAGATACTGGAAACCGAGAGAAACGTGATGAGCCTCGTTTGTATTGTAAATCACGGAACCTATTGTTCCCAATCGTTCATTCATTAGTGAGGTGATACAACTTTCATCCTGGTACACAAGAACTCCTTTAGCTCAGCAACCGGGTGCTATTTTTCCCAGGGAATTTAGGGCATTATCAAGTGAACAACAAAGCCGACTTACATGCAGCACTGAAATGGATACGTCAAAACGGTTGGAAACGGTTCATTTAAGAATAGTCAGAATTCACTCTTCTCAGTACTATCAACCACATTATATAGCAAATAGCGCAGACGACAAAACTGCGTCAAGTTTAAAGGTCACTTGAATTGAACGTACATATGGACACACCCAAACAGAAATCGGAGAAATGGCACCTCCCTTTATTTGCAGCCGAAATTTGCGATAGTTAACGTTGCATAATGAAGATTGTTTGGTGGTCAGCAACCTGGGAATCCAATGTTCATGTCACATATGACGTTCTTTTGTTCTAAGAAAAACCGATAAGCTCAAAAGGACTATTTGGAGTAAACGTCGACATGGACAGAGGTACATAGGTCTTAGAGATCGATGGTTCGTTCCACGCGAGACTACCCTTTTGGATCAAAGGTTCCCACCCGAGCAGACAGGAACAGTGAATAGCATTTGAAAGTATTATTATTTTTGGAAAGGGACGCCCTGATAACCAGATAAGATAAATTTTTAGTCTCTTTTCAATTCCATTTAAAACAGTTGACTTTCGAACCGGAGATTATGAAACCATACTCTATGAATGTATTGTAGTGCATACAGTGAACGAGGTAGCTAGATGGCTGTATAAATTGACCAACGGAAAACAATTCAACTCAGATTGATTATAAAAGAAGGGACTGCCCGCCAACCTATGCATTTCCGTGTAAGGTCGACCACTTTGTATTGATTAATTTCATCATTCTGTCAAATACCGAAATGCGACAGATAAGATTCTCATGCAACCAGTTCCCTATAACATTTTCATGAGAGCAAGTAGAAACGTCATGATCA